TTTATTTTGGCTCAAGAGTGCACTGGATTCTTTAACTGGCTTCTATAACACATGTTTGTTTTATCTGGTACCTCCTATCTGGCCTTGACAGCAAAAAATAAACCAAAGTAAACAACTCACTGCGGCACATCTTCAAAATGGAAAACCACATTAGAAAAAACACTACAGTCCAATCAGCTCATACTGAGGATTAACCAAACCTGAAAAGAGAGATATAATATACTGTATATACTGCTGCAAGTCTCTTACATTTATGTATTTATACTCCAAGGGCTATGGTCACAAAGCATCCATTGACAGCACTGCTGATCCAAGGTCAGTGAGTGAAAGAGTGGGCATGGCCTTTGACCCTGGGCCAGGATAATAAGCCTTGTGAGCGTAGCTCCAGATGTGGTTTAAGTGTGGAAGCGTTTATATAAGACCAATACCACGGCACACAGTCACTGGCTGAATGTTAAGCTTCAAGTTATGAATGACTACAAAAAAAAATAAAAATAAAATAAAAACATTAAAACATACTAAAATAACAACATAAGATCGCTTGCGCGCTTTATTGTTCTACACTGTGATATGGAGGCTGAATGATGAGTTATTACTGAATTCCATCAAGGCTGATGGCGCTCCCAAACCAGCGTACACCTGAGTGGGTGGCGTCTTTCTTCACAGTTTCAGCTCTTACACTTCTCTTGGGAGAACTCATGTCTGAAGTTCAAGAACTACACTAACTTTATGGGAGTTTGGCTTCAAAACGCTTTACCCAAAACATTACAAGAGAACCAGCATCATATTTCTCTCTGCAGACAATTCTGCTTGGTGCGCAGCCAGAATTTTATAATCACATGTTCGGACAGAACGTGGAAAGATGTAGCCCCTCAAAAATGGAATGAGTTATAACATGTTTTAAAATTAAAAGCTTAATTTCTTTTTTAAAATATTATACTCGTTTGTTTTTCTTCATATGGAACAACGACTTTGTGTATGTAAATTTGGCTTGCTGTGAATTTCTGTATAATTTCTTCATGTTCATCGTTTACAGTATCTCATCTATATTTTTGAAAAAGACACTGACCAACTAATGACACTACCTGTTTAAAGGATTAAATCAAAATCTAAATGCATTAAAAAAAAGACAACAATGGAAAGACAGAGTTGATGACCCACTGCCAACACTGACAACACAATACTAGACCTTTATATTACTCTAAACTGACTGATCTTTTATTAAAAGCATCATCAGACATCAGTTATGTCTGTAAACAGTTGGCTTAGTTTTTTTCTCTGGCCTTAAATTTCTTAAAACACAATCTAAATCCTTAAGTCCATTACAAATGAGTGATAAAAAGCCATTAGCCATTTGGCTAACTTTGCTTACTTCCTGTAGAAGCTAAACAACATATGCTGGAGGTCTGCAACCACAATCCTTCTCCAATTTGAAGAATCTCCAAATGGCACCTTTGTCCCTTACTTTACAGTTTTTTTTTCCACAGCAGGTTCAGACATGAAAATCAAGCTGGGCCACGATGCAGTTAGCTCCATTACACCATTAGCATATGTTAATGTTGTTGCTGATTGTCTCATATTGGTTAAGATGACCAACAGACCAAACTCCCAAAAACCTGGTGTTGTCTCTGAAGGACAACGCACATATTTCTTAAACAGGTGTGACCCGGCGAAGTGTCAGAGTATTCCCCTATGGAGCTATTTGTTCCCTGATTTTCCCTGGACTCGTTTCATAAACTCTTTCTCAACATTTGGCAGATAAGTTAAGATTGCACTATATTTAGTAGTTTTTGTGCTATGGCATGTGTTTTGCAAACACAATACCTCCATACTCACTAGGGGCCCACCTACCTATAGTTTGACAGCCTGTAATATTGCTAACAATTTTGACTCATAAGCAGGAAGAACAAATTGCATTTGTTTTTCACAGCTGTGTGTTAGTACTTAAAATGAGCCAATGGGGGTGGGACAGTGAATGTGAATTTACAGTAAGTGTGTGTGTTTATTGCACCATACACCCTGGGTGGTTAGACACACAAACCTTTGGGTTTCAGTTCAAATATGCAGGGGCAACCGAACAAACTGAAGTTATCGACTGTTGCTTTAGAAGTGCTCAATGTTAATAGTGGCTACAACAGCTGACCTGGTGTATGAATGCATATGTATGTATGATTCAGTTTAACTGAATATTCTTTTCTGGTAAAATGTTACAGATGAACTTTAAAACTAACTAAACTTCATTTCTGCCTCAGTGGCACCATGTTTCTCCCCCTACAATCCCCTGTCATCACCACCCACCGAGCCCCTATCTCTGTCTCACTCGTTTTAAATTTTTTTTTTTTTAGTCAGACCACTCATTCTCGTCGAGCTCTGAGTCGTCATCAGACTCGCTGTACTCCACAGCGATACGTCGTGATAGGATGGTTGCCACATCGTTGCCGACGGGCTCCCGCTTAGCCTCCTGCTCCCTCTGCTCCTGTACCTTCCTCAGCTGGATACCTGCAGGGCATGAAGGGAGGATGCACAGGGGAGGAAAGAAGGGTGACCAGATAGTTAAGGCCCCTTACCAACAAGCGGTTTAAACTCATAAATTAATGTTCATATGTGGTGACTTTAATATAGATTTGTTGAATCCTAACAAGCACACAGGAACTGAGTTTATTAACACATTGTATAGATGTAGTTTATACCCAAAAATTACAAAACCAAGTAGATTAACAACCCAGCATGCAACACTAATAGATAATATATTTACCAATGTTATTGAAAGCAAAATGTCTAGTGGATTACTTATAAATGATATTAGTGATCATCTACCTGTATTTTTGGTTTATGACTGCCAGTATAGAAAAGAAAGGCCAAAAACAAATCTTTTTTCATAGGAGGGTGATGAATGAACATGCTGTAAGGAGGCTAAAAGATGATTTCATGGGGCAAGACTGGGAATCAGTTTATAGAGAGGAAGACTTGAGAGGAAGCATATGAGCAATTTTTAAATATATTCATGAAAGTATATGACAGGAACTGTCCTCGTAAACAGTATAAAAAGAGGAATTACAGTGGGAAACCGTGGTTGAGTAAGGGATTACAGAATGCATGTAAAAAGAAGAATGTGTTATATAAGGAATTCATAAAGTACAGATCAAAGAAGGTGGAAGAAAAATATAAGTCATAAAAGAATAAATTAATTGCGATATTGAGGAGATGTAAGAAACAATATTACTCTAAAGTATTAGAGGATAATAAAAATAATATGAAAGGTACTTGGAATATATTAAATACATTGATTAGAAACAGTTCCAGCAAGAGTAACTACCCTCAATATTTTATGGATAATGATACACCGGTTAATAGATTGGAGGATGTAGTAGATAAGTGAATGTTGGTCCTGGTTTAGCAAGCAGCATTTGTACAGATGATACATCCGTCACTTTAAATACTAATACAATCAAAAGGAACATGAGTTCTACGTTTTTGAAGCCCATAGTTGAAAAGGAAATTATAGAGATAGTGAATAAATGTGGTAACAAAACATCTAGTGATAGTGATGGTATCACTATGACAACTGTTAAATGGGTAATTGAGGGGATATGCAAACCATTAACCCATATTTTTAACATGTCATTTCGACTTGGTCAGTTCCCTAATAATATGAAAATAGCAAAGGTTATTCCACTGTATAAATCTGGTGATAAGCACAACTTCACAAATTATAGACCGGTTTCTCTGTTGTCACAATTTTCAAAAATTCTGGAAAAACTCTAATAACAGATTAGATACATTTATTGACAAACATAAAATCCTCTCTGATTGCCAATA